CGGGGAGGGTGAGGAGTCCGGATTTCTCGAGCGCGAAGAGCGCCTCGTTGATGGTCCACGGCGTCACGGTGGCGATGAGCTGCTGCGAGCGGTGCTCCACCGGCGGGGCGCTCGGGAGAGCGGTCGGCGCGTAAGGATAGGAGCGCGCGCCCACCGCCGGCGGCGAGGAGAGGACGGTGAGGATGTCGATGACCCACGCGGGCTTCTTGTAGCCGATGGAGGTGACGTCGGCGTCGAGCATGAGGTGGCCGGCGCGGGGAAGGACCGTTGCGAGCGGCTCGCCGAGCGGCAGGTGGTGCAGCGGCAGGTGGTGAAGCACGTCGCCAAGCGTGCCGATGACCTTGCCAACCTTCTTCTTGGCGATCCGGTTGGTCACCTTGCCGATGACGCCGGTGATCATGTTTGCAAAGAGGGAGACGCCCTTAAATTCGTGCAGCTGGATGTTGCGCATCTGGAAGTTTGTGTTGACGTAGCGCGCCGCCAAATCGGGCACGCCGCGAGCCGCGCCGAGCGAGATGAGCATCGTGATCTCAGAGTCGTACAGCTCGGCGGAGAAGGAGGCGTCCATCGGGTCGTAGCACATGAAGGTGCAGCCGGCCTGCTTGGCGAGGGAGCTGCCCTCTGCGTGCGCCGAGATGCCCGACACCTTGACGAGCAGGCCGTCGGGCTGGTTGCGCACGGAGATGCCGCCGACCGAGCAGCGCGACAGGGCAAAGGACTTGACGTCGATAGCGACCGGGCCCTCCTCGATAGACTCGTGGCCGAGCAGCTTATCCATCGGGATCCCGCAGACCACGTCGGCGATGACGGGCTTCAGGCCGGCTTCGACGGCGCCCATGAGCGCGTCGGTGGCCCACACGCGGGCGTTCGAAGGCGTGGCTGCCGCAGCGGGCGCAGACAGGAGGAGGGCGGATGCGAGCATGTTGATGAGGCGGGACCGAGGCTCCCGAAAGCTGCTTCAAGCGCTCCTTGAGGCCGGAGGAGGAGATGGAGTCACGCGATTGTTTTTTTGTCGAGTTTTTTTCTTTTTACTGACAACGAGGGATAGGAAGAAGCAGACGCCCAGGGGGTAACATGGGGACGGCTAGCACCACACCTTTCTCACCTGCCCGACGGCAGCTGGGGCGGCTGGGTTCCCGTCGGCAAGCAAGGGCCTCCTGAGGGAGGGAGGGAGGGTGAAGAGGATGTAGAGTGTAGAGCGCTGTAGAGCTGTAGAGCTGTAGAGCGCTGGAGAGCGCTGTAGAGCGCTGTAGAGCTGTAGAGCTCTACATCTGCCGCGGGACGAAGCGCCTCCGTTGTAGAGCGATGTAGAGGCGCTCTACAACGTGAAATCTCTACAACAAACTCTACATCATAAGCGGCGAACGAGGCACGGTCGCTCTCCGACATGAGGCGCGTTGCACTTGCCAGTGCTGCCCTGGCCTTCTCTCGGCGCCTCGGCGCGTCAGCTCGGCTCGGCGTAGCGATAGTGGCCAGCGCAACTCGCCTGGACTCAACGCTCAGCCAGGAGCTCCCGCACGCGCTCGCTGGCGCGAGTCATGGCGCGGCGCGGGAGCGGATCCGCCCGGTGGAGGAGGCGGGGAAGATGCTGGAATGGGACTGGGGGAGTGAGCGGCTCGCGGTTGCCGAGTCGTGCCTGCCATCCCGTGAGCCGTGTCGCGGAAGCGAGGCGGCTGGGTGGTGGCACAGGAGCTCCGGGCGGTGGTGGTGTGGAAGGGGACGGCGTGTTGGGGGGCGGGGTGGCGGAAGGGCAAGCGAATTATCGGGCAAGCGCCGGCTCGGGTTCGGGTTCTGAGGCTGTCCATGCTCGATGGATCTGTCTTGACTCTTGTCCTCCCCGACATGACATGACAGAGTGTCCCTTGTAATGCGAGAGAGTGCGGTTTGTGTTCTTGTTTTGTATCCTCACCCCTTAAAGCCCTCCTGCGTGGCGCGTGCAACCATCCCTCCGTGTCTGTTTTCTTTGTTTATGCCTTTCAGCAGCTTCCAAGGAAGGCCACTAAAGACAACAAAGAAACACAAACCTGGGAGGAGAGAAGACGAAAGGAAAAAGAAGAAAAACAGGCTCGCCGCTCCGACATCGAGTGGTGTCGGCAAGCGCAGCCATCGGCCATCAGGGGTGATGTTCGCACTCATCTTGCTCCTCGGCGGCGCATTCGCGGCGAACCCGGACGCTCCCCACCCTCACGGCGGCAAGCTCTCGCCCTACGTCCTCGGCCCTCCCACCGTCCTGCTCTCGCGGGAGGACGAGGAGGAGCTCGCCGACGGCAAAACAATCATGCGCGTCATCTCCAACAGGCCGGCCGACGAGTCTCGGGAGGGCGGGGCGCGGCGGCTGCTCATGGTGCGTGACGTCGCCGCGCCCAAGGACGTAGTGCTCGACCGCATCGGCGACTTTGCCGCGTATCCGCGGATGGTCAAGGGGTGCGACGCGTGCCACGTGTACAAGCGGGAGGGGCGGCCGGACGGGACGGAGGAGGTGCGGTGCGAGTATCGGATCCACGCGCTGCACCTCAAGTTCCGCTACTTTATGAGCCACCAGATCGACCCCGAGGCGGGCTGCGTCGTCTGGAACCTCGACTATGAGCGCGAGTCTGACCTCGACGACTCGGTTGGCTA